TAAGTACAGTAACGAAGTATTTCTACTTCGTTACTATACACCACTGGCCAACAGTCGTGGGGACTCGTCTCCCTTGTGGGGACACAACGCAAGTCCCCACGACGTATATCATTCCATTTAAGGCTGGGGTAAGGGTTGGGGTTGCATGTAGTGGTCATGTTTAAGGTTAGGGTAAGTCAGTGTACTGTCCCCTTAATGGAAACAAGTTCATATGTGTGTGTGCGCGTGTGTGTGTAAAGCGAGAAGAAAAAAATCACTTTACAGTTGCAGAACAGAAATTTATTGAAATACAATTTCATCACAAACAATACAGTGCATTCTTTGTCTTTTCATTTCGTTGACATTTCCAACATTATTTGGTTTCATCAATAGATACTATTTACAAAATGTCCTTTAGTTCAAATTCATAAATATAAATAAAATGTGTACATTCTTTGGTCTCTTGTCTGTGTTTAGTGGTTATTGCAAAGAATGAAACTGCTTGTGTACATGATCTTTATGTTGATTCCAATGGTTGACCGTATATATTTACTGTTTTGTTGTTTGATCAAGTCAATGAGATGACTCATCTGCAATGTAATGTTCTCATTCATTTTGCCAAAATTGAAAATGTGAAAGTGAGGTAAACCCAGTCCTTTTTGTGGGTATAGTGAGTTTGATGAATTTGATTGTAATCCTGGAGTTTCTGCGTACTCATACTTGCTCCTGAGTCACTACTGTAAGTATGAATGGTGGTGTGACTCTTTATTTCTTATTTCTAGCTGCTTACAAAGTCAAGAGTCTGCCAAGCCTCAAAGCAAAAACATATAAAAAGGTTCAGTTAGTTTGAAGTGTGAGTGATATAATGGTTTAGAAAGCCTTTTATCACATGTGCATCAATCAAGTTTTCTAGAAAAACCTCCCTGAAAAACCTCACTGCAAAATGTAGTGAAGTAAAAGTAAAAGTCAACAGAAATATAAATAGTAAAGTAAAGTACAGATATCTAAAAAAACGACTTAAGTACAGTAACGAAGTATTTCTACTTCGTTACTGTACACCACTGTTCCAAAATATAAATAAATGTGCATAAAAACAAGATATATACAACAACACTACAACCAAAATGTCTTTTAACCGAGCAACAAGTTGAAGTTCTGTTTTTCGATTTACTTATTTATACCTTTACTGTTTGACTCTTTATTGTACTTGTTCTGTTTTTATTTTTCTTGTTTTGTTTTTTACTGACGTCTCTTGTTGCACACTCTGCTGCTGCAATCCTGCAAATGTCCCCACTGTGGGACTAATAAAGGATTATGTTATCATATCTTATCTTATCAATGCCAAATAGTAAATTCTTTATTCTTTCTATCTTACTAGCTGGCATGGCTGTAGACTTTTATGCCATGTCGTAAATCCATACTATATGTTGATTCCAAGCAGGTTTTCCGTGTGTTACCCAAAGCGACAAAATAAAGTATAATCCAAGCATGCATATAATTTCTGAGTGGGCCGTTGATGCACACTATTCTGCTACACTGCAATGCACCAAGGAAACAGCGGAGCTGCTCACACCTGGAAAACAATTAAATAAATTGTGAGAGGTGGTATGGAAGCCCTGAGAGGAGAGAGAGGAAAACATTTCTGGTGATTCATTTTCTAAGTCTGATCTCAGGTTGTTTTCTCTCCTGTGTTTATGACTATAGAACACATGAATACAAGTTTTGCTCGGTGAAAAAAAAAGTTACTTTTGGCAAAACATTCTTTTTTCCATCTGTTTTCAAAATGTTTTTGTCCGGATCAAGGGTTTTGTCGTTGTAATACTCATTCCTGCCACAAAAGGCTGAATTTCACCACCACCCCTTGTTCTAAACAGGGCTGAAAGCTTTTCTTCCAGGTGGGTTTTAATTTCTCCATGCACTCTAAACACACAATATATTGTATCACAACAACAAACAGTTAGAAAGTGTCCTCACAACCATCGCCTAAAACGTTTAACTGTTGTTAAATCATAAATACAGGAGAGAACACAATTTAGATCGGACTTACAAATCAACAAAATGTTGTTTTTTTGCCTCTCAGGTTTTCCGTGAGGTGGTGAAACTGCGCCCCAAACAAAAATAGTATTCTGATGATGTCTTTTTGTGAAGATTTAAGAGGTAGAAACATTCCAAAGTAGCAGTTTTATTGACAATCAATGTCACACATAAATCAATTAAGTATAAATGGTTAAGCAAGTTGATATTTTGTATACCAACTGCTAAAATAGTAGTATTGTACATCTTGTGTAGACGTAGCGAACATAAGGTGATCAGTACTAAAATGATTGCTATCTGCAGCCCTATGGTACATGTATAATAAAACATGACATATCGGTAAAGAGATGTGCTACATGTCTCACTCTGACTTATGAAACTCACACATTGCTGAATTCTCAAAGTTATAAAAACACCATAACACCAACCCCTACCGCCATCTAGCATCCCCCAGCTGGTTAGATAATGCCGCCCAGACATTGCATTGCTGCTGCTGGTAGTGGTTATGGTGATACGGTAACAATGGCAGCTCCCTGGCGTCGTCCCCTGAGCTCCTCTGATGCATGGCTGTCACCGCTGTGCCGCAGAAGTGAAATAATTGAGTATAAAGCCGTGAAACGGGGGAGTGGTGATGGGGCCTCAGTGTCCATTGAAGTGAGGGAATAATCCATCTGAGGGTGGGCTAGCGCTGACCATCGTTTAAGTGGCTTTGAAAAACCGGGACGGCCATTACAGACATTCTGCTTCACTGTTGCGAGGTGCCACTGCCTGATTGATGCCTGAGAGAGGATTTGGCGCTGCTGTGGTGTCTATTATACAGCAAGCACTTTAGTATATTGCCTGTGTGTGTGTGTGTCCCTGGGTAGATATTTGTGTGTGTCCCTGGTCCTTGTGAATAAGAGGGAGGAAGCTGTAGGTGATCATGTAAGATGGCCAGGTCACGTGTTTCATTCCAGGTCTTGAGGACCTGGAGCAGCACGCCTTTCCACAGTTGGCTCCTAAACGCGGTCCATCACCCTACTCGTTCACGACTGATGATTCTCACACACCAGCCCTCTTCATCTTCAACCAAAACAGACTCCGACCAAGAAATCAATGGAACTAGGAGCCGGTTCCCCCCCCCAAAGGAAGAAGCTGATGTAATTAAATCCGTGTGCAGTGTAAGAGAAATAAAGGACAGGAAAGCTTGTGAAGTGCAGGCGAAGTCCCCGGAGGTATAATTAACAATATCTGCTCCTTCTTTCTCTGACGCCCACTACAGTGCAGACAGATGCGGAGGCAAAGCCCCAGATGGACTCTCTGCCAGTGGGTTTGCTTGTGTAGACCATCCCGCTTTATAATGTGTGGTACATGCAGTGCCTACAAACAACATGGAATCAAGCGGGATCTGATGTGTTTTTCGTTTTTTACACTGACCATTGACGCCTTTAATACGACACGCATCTAAATCATCACAGGTGCAGCCAATAGGCCTTTTTAAAAAAGATATCACAGTAGGAAAAGCGGCCTCTGCTGTTCATGCTGGCTCACTCTCATTCTGTCATGGCCTACTGGGTCACTACCACAGAGCCATCGTTAATGTTATTAGTAACACCTGTGCTTTTCCTACATTGACGTGAAGTCTGCCGTGTCTGCACTCCAAGCAACTCGGCGAAGAGCCGATCGAAAAAGCATGAGTCAGGGGTTTCCAAGTCACAGAACATCCCTTGGAACACAGTTAAATCAATAATTTGCAACATGACAATCTGGCTTTAGACTACTTCTTGGCTAGGCAACTTCCGGAGGTCTGTGGTGGTTGTCTGGCAACTGCTTGAGGACAAACAGTCCAGCACATAACGCAACACAAGTCAAATGTTGAATTATTGTTGCGGATTTTGGTTATTCTTTTAATTGCGAGCTCGGTAGCTGTTTTGATTAGGATTTACTTAAGTGGATCTTGAGTTGGGATTGTTTTGTCACACTATACTGAACTTAATTACGTTACATTCCCCCCAATAGATTAGCACGGCTATCCTGAGGATAGATGGCAAAATGAATGTAGCAACATACTAATTGCTAATTTAGAGAGGGTGAAACAAATATTTTGTAGAGATCTTGTCTCACTTTGAAATTAGAGGGTCTTTTTTTCTGGGGGTCCGTATCAACAACAGCCCATTGAATCTACTTTACTCTGTAAACTGAGTAGAAAACAACCGATGCTAAGATAAGCACTACAAAGAGGGCTGAATAACTTTGAAAGTTACCGTAAAGGAGATTAATGCAGACACAAGCGTCTCACTTTCTATTTCTCCTCCTCTCGTGTGATCACACATTGAATGCGGAACATCGTGATCCAGCTGGATTTGAACAGCAACAGGATCCACTGACTGTCAGCTGCCAGGAGAGAAATATATTGCCCTAAAATAAGACTGCAGTGTGAAACTGGTCAAAATGTGTCGCTGACTTTTTGTCAGAGAATCACATGATTTTCACCCTCAAGTATTTAACGCGTATAGCTGAAGATTTGACGTTGGCACTTTAAATAGGCTGTGCACCCGATAACGTTCAGTCATGTGTCTCCCATGAATTTGAAAGTTGTGAGTCAGACATATGTGACTGGGCGTCGGAGCTTTCTTTGCTGCCCGATTGCTTGGTCCCGGAATAGCAGAATGCTTCCCAATAGCTGTTTAATTCTAATGAGGGTTTTATGAGTCGTGATCGAGAGCACATTGGCAATGTGTTCAGTCAATAGTGCCATCTCTTCTGTGCAGAGCCTCGGCTCATGTGCCGAGCAATTGACCCGAAGATTTATACAGCTATTTTCTAAAGGTCCCCCATTGGTGGGCCTATACAGTCAGGAAGGCAAATGAGTGTTTCAATGGATTTCACTTTCAATTTGAATGCGGAGTGGTTGGAACTCGGCCCCGGCTAAAGAGAGGCCATGGGTAATGAACTCCTTTGTGTCATGACACTTAAGAGGATCAAACGCTTGAGGCTGTGAAGACGTTCAGCACTGCGAGAGAGATGATTTAACATTGGCTGCTATAGGTGGTGAATCCTGAGTTTATCCACCGTCTGCTGAAAACCACACACTGAGGAGCCGTGTTCCACTCGCATTGGCGTCAGTCAATTGGGATTAGTTTGCATATCGGTATTGCAACAGCTGTAAACCCACCCGGGAGGCTTTGATGTATGGATGTACCCAAAATCAGCACTGGAGGTGGCCTGCAGAGGACTGTGTGGGTAGTACGAACTTTTGTCTGTCTGCATATGCTACGGGCAGCTGGTTAAGTCTGCATCAAACGGTGAACCTCGGCACGCTGAGCAGGTATGCGCTTACTATGGTCCCCATTTTAGAGTATTGGCGCGCCAACAAGCACTAAAAGCAAAGTTTTGCAAGCATTTAGTCTTAAATCAACCTTGTGGTGGCACTGACAAAGCAGATGTTAGTGGGGTTCATCTTCTGGGGACCATGAATGAAACGTAATAAAAACTTATCCATCAAACTAAAAGGGAAGGAGTCTCTGTCTGTATGACCGTATTATGTCATTCAAGTTTTTGACAACCGTTCATCCGATCAACTTCACCTTAGTGGGGACTGCACTAGTGTGGAAAAAATGTGCCAACCCAATTACATGTAGGAAAACAAAATTTATTTCATTTTAAAATACTTCACATTTATTTCTTCATCTTCACTGTATTTGCCATACCTATGCTATATAAATGCACAGAAATGTAGAAACTGTATTTACTGCAGTAGGGGGCAATATAGTAAAAACAAAGAAACAACAAGATATACGGTTTCATTCCCAATAGACAGTTGACATGACATTCAAAATGTTATGTCATGCCCTATTCATTTTGCCTATCTGTTTTAACTCAGTGACACCAATCACAAACAGACCGCAATGGTAGGAGAGTGATAATCCTGTTGTGACTTTATCTCCCGCTGACACCCACCACCCGGGACAGGGCGTGGTTTAGACGGGTGACATAACTCTCACACACTCTCCAGTTTGTCCATTAACAGCCTGACAGGTTTTGTGTCACGTGGTGGCCCCCGTGGAAGGGACGTGAACTGTCGCGGCTCAGAGAATCAGGGCCAGCCAGCCGGCGATCATAGCCATGCCCCCCATGGGAGCCATCTTGCGAAGACCAGGGTCCCCCGTCATGGCCTGGTGGTACAGGGAGCCACAGAACATCCCCATGCCCGCTATCAGGAGCGTACCAGCCTGTATTGAGGGGCAGAGAGATGTGAGACTCGTCAAACTGAACCTAAACACTATTAGACAGAAGTAGTGGGGTTATAAGAATAGCTCATTCTGAATTGGAGAAAGGAAGTATATGATGTCCAACAGGAAACACCGAGCCTGGAGGCAATGTGACAGCCAAGAGATCCTGATTGGTTTGGCCCCCACATGGATCACAGCTAATCTGGCTTGATTTTCAATCAAATCTTTTGTGGTTAATGGATCTTAATATAACCTTTACACTGCACATACTTGTCGTGTGCTGGGGATTCCATTTGTCATAATGTGATGAAGCCAGGACACACAAGACAAATCCTTAACGACAACTTCACTGCTCCTTTCCCAGCTGTTAGCCACGGGGTTGTAGTTACGGCTTAAAGGGAGACTGGTTTTCTGAGTGGGGAGTCGGGTCAGACGGGTAATGGCAGAATAACACCGTCACACTCGTTACATTTTTAAAAGGGACGCTCAAGTGCATCCAGCCCTGAGAGTTGGTATTACAGGCTGGCATACTCACCACAACGGGTTTGCCAGAGTGGGCAGCACCCAGCAGGGCCAGGCTGTGGTAGAAATGGTACTTGTTGGCGGTTTCAAAAAGCTGGAGAGACAAACACACGGAGACACAGAGGGTTCAGAAAACTTCTGCCTAGCAAAGCTAGCCCAGGGCTACTACTGTACAGTGTAAATGGACTACAAGACAGTGTTTAAAGGGTGACTTAGGTATGTTTCCAACCTTATTTTCCTGTGTTTTTTGTGTCAAAGTGACTAATGGGGACAACGTTTTTCTTAATTGAATTTGACTGATTGTTTTAAGGGACAACGCTGCAGACGGCAGCCACCAAACCCTGACAACCCTCACGTTTACACCGTTGTCTTCCGGCTACAAGTCACATGACACAATAACATGGGGAAATAGGGTCCAGGTTGAAGTTATCCTTTGAGTTGCTACTAGTGTAAAAGGGGAGTTGGTTACTATCATCCACCTATTGCATCATTTTAATCAATCAATGACTCTATTCTAAACAAGATATTTTAAAAGCCCTTTTCAATGTCTTTCGCCATTCAGAAAGTTTCCACATAAATATGTTTGGAAAAGAAACCAAACTCACAGGCACTTGAGTAAAAAAACAACAACACTGCTACAGTAAGTCTAAATTTGAGCACTAAACTAAAACCAATCTCCAAACTGCATAATCAAGATCATGATCTCTGAAGTAGAAACTGTATTAGGAAACTACGGAACAAATCAAGTGGTGAAGGTTTGAAAAAAAAAAATAATGTAATATCACAATATGCGATCACAGTGGGCCTACTACATACATACCACTCTCTGGTAGTCATCAGGGTCGCTGTTTTTGAAACCTAAAGAAAGAAATATGGAAGAGAAAAGGACAATATGTATGCGATATGAATTAAATATGACTTTCACATATAATCTGACGCACTTAATGACAACTTTAATGGCAAACAACCAACTTCCCTTTAGTTCTCCACACGCTATTTTGGTAATTATTATTAATGGATCACGAGGCCCTTAAGGGCTTGAAGCTTTGTGTCAGTTTATACCAGTGGTTCTCAACAAGGGGTCCGGGGACCCCCAGGGGTCCTTGCGGGAGTTCCAGAAAAATGTCGAATACCGGTAGTTAATTTGGACTATTTCATTCACCATAGAAGTGAACCCAATGTGAGTGAGAGTCATAGAAGGGGCTATGATCATGGATGTCACGGTCATCGTCTCAGCTTTAGTTGACAGCTATAGAATTCTGGTATTAATCATATCTAACAAACTAAATATTAACAGATGGAAGTCCGTAAAGCGAAATCTTATTAAAGGGGGGTCCGTGACTTAATGTGTCTCAATTTAGGTGTCCTTGACACGAACCACGTTTGCCTGGTGGAGGAAGTAAGCCTTCCTCCACCATGTCTCACAATGGGAGCGTGTCACCTTGATTACACAAAGTGTATATTTGACTAAAACAACACGCTGCTTGGTGTGTCTTTTGGATGCCGAATGAATCATCAGCCCAAGACACATAAACACAGCCGGTATTTGTTATTTTAGCGTCACGCAGCTGCGTCGGTACAGAAGACAATCTTGAATTGGCATTTTTTGGGACGGAGGCTGGAGTGGTAAGCGTTGACATGGCAGTGTTTTCCGGACTGTGTAACGATACTTAGACACTTGTGCATGAGTGTGGACTGTAAGCTAACGTAGACATCCTACCGTGAGCCCCGTATGCCCCTGCTGCCACTGCAGAAGCCCCCGACAGAGCCGCTAACCTTCGGACAACAGACGTAGTCATGTTTCGCAGGCGCGTGTGTATCCGACAAGCGGAAGACTGACCGAAACGGTGCCTTCACTGTCCTCTGATAAATGCCTACCTCTGAAATAAGGGATTACGGAACATGGTCCTTGCTCGCTCTCTCTCTCTCTCTCTCTCTCTCTCTCTCTCTCTCTCTCTCTCTTTCTCTTTATGTACCTCAATTGTGGGATTTTTAAGTCTATTATTCGGCTCACGGACGTTTCAATGCCTCAATTGTTTATTTAATTTCCAAATGATTTATCTGCAAACAGCAAGTAAAAAAAGAAATGCATGTACCAGACGGCCAACAAAGAATACAAAACAATGACATAGGTGAGTCGTCCGCATGTTATGCTAATTACGACATTCCGCTGAGTCCATGAAGGCGGCATCACAGAGAGCCGATTCTGCGCTCGAGCCAAAGGTTCCTGGCTGCCAGGCACATCCGTTATCCGTGTGGAGGCTTGAACCAAAATGGCGTATGCCATGCTACAGTTTCAGCCCACGGGCAAACGTCATAACTCTACCAAATAGACCTGACACTGACATGACACTTCAGCAGTCTAGTGATACCTCAGGCTTCGTAGGATATGTGGCCTTTATCATGTGAGCATTTCATACTCTCGACCCACTGGTCACTTCGGACTTTCAATGCTTTCATTTGATATTGCAGGATACACTGTGCAACCAGGATGAAAGTAAAAATAAAATGTTGTTCTGTTTTTGTGTATTGAATCAGAACAGAAAAAAGGCTCATACTCACTGTTATTCAGTCACCTCTAGTTCTCAAATGGAAAAAGAAAATCCGATAGTTTCTTTTATTTTTACCTTTGCTTTGTTTAAGGCTTCACATCTGAAATGCATTATTCATGGCAGGGCTGAATTGTACTCTGGTGCTGCTTTTGTATGAATAATTAATTTCTCTGGGGTTGCGTGGCTTTAGAAAGGGTCTTTAATGCTCCGCTTTTTTTTCAGCATCGGCGTATGCACCAAATTGCCACATAACACTGAATGATAGGCTCAGCGGTCCGGACGGTGCATTAGTGTCCAGCACTTTGCAATTTGGCCATCACTGCAATTTAAACACTGGTGATTTTCTCTGCAGAGGTGTTGGGGACTCATGTTGATGTAACCCCTTTGATGAAAACACACTGATCCCTGCAGAGAGCCCACCAAAAGGGGGTGCTGTATCGCTTTCTAATATGCTAAAGTTTGAGTTAGCGTGTGTGTGTGTGTGTGTGTGTGTGTGCGTGTGGAGGGGGCGTGGGGGACTTCTTCCAATTATCATATTGAAATTACTCAGGGTCACACTGCATTACCGGAGAGCCGCTAGACCACAGTTTCCGTCGAGTCTCGTCCTTAGCTGACTTTGACACAGCGCTAACACAATGCATACAATTAACACATCTTAATGACCATGTAGCTAATTAAAAATAAGCCCCGTGAGTCGCAGGCCCTCATCATCAACTCCCGAACCAAACCTGTGGCCAGCGGGTGCTTGTGTTAGCGTGCGCGTGGACTTTCCCTTGGCATGATGTCTGTGGAGCCCTTTCCGCATGTTGGGTTGTGTGCAGAAGGATGCTTGCTTACTGTGCACACACTCCACTTGAAATCCACGAGCACACACATACACACACACACACATAGGTAATTTTCATTCTGGCCCATGGCAGATGGGACAGCAAGGGCAACAATGAAGTATGGCTTTACAGCAATTGTTGTCGCGGACGAGCAGCAATCTCCAAGTCCCAGCAGCCGTGAGGTTCCTTCCAAGAGTCAATATCCATCTCACTTCAGCCATCCTCCCACCCGCCTCTCCTCTCCGGCGACTTCTTCACCCGTCCACAAACCTTGGTGTGTTTGAATAGAGGCCTGTGCATGTATGTGTGTGATCCCCTGAGATTGTTTGCCCCCCCGGGCTTGTCTTGCGATCGAGCTGCCGTCCGAGGAAAACATTCAGCTCTGGCGGAAAACAGTCAAGCGGCCGACACGCAGAACATTACTCGCTTTACAACGAGGGTATCGACCAAGCGCCTCCTTCCAAATTGGAACCGGTGGCTTGTCTTGCAACCTGCACGTTTGCATGACAGCTGCTGTATTTCATCCTGGTGCCACCTTTTCTTTGTGGTGAAGATGATAATGGTGGGGTGTGAGGATGACAGAGAAAGATGCCTTCCAAGGAATGCTTCCATCTCCACATTTTAAAACAAGTGTATCTCACTTTTCTTTCAGTTTAATGTAGGCCTACTGCCCAGGGTTGTTTTCAAAATCCAATTTCCAATTCTTGTTAACTTGTTAAGGTATATCTAGTGGCAATGCGTCTTTGTTCTATAAGGGAATTTTAATGCATGGCAGGTAAAGTGGAAGCAGCCGGTCTAGTCGGCATAAAAATAAACATTGTGCTTTGTTTGTCGTTAGCAGGTAACAAGACAGATGGGAACACTTCGGCGAGGCCTCACAGTTGTCATTATTTAAAGGACTGTGATAGACTCTGAGTGATCTTTTCTGAAATGGGAATCATGTATGGTCATACTGTTGGGAATGTCAGAAGTGTCATCCGTCTCCCCCACTGTCACATGCTCTAATGTCTCCGAGTGGAAAAGCGGAGGGGGGGGACAGCCAAAATAAAAAACAGGACGGCTCCGTCCTGCCAGCAATGGAATATCCTTGTGTGCCGAAAGCTTTGCCCGCTGGCCGGCGTGCTCCCGTCCTCCGACGGATTTAAAAAAAAGAACCCAACATTTCTGAAATTCTCAATTTACCTTGATGTGTTTTGACGGGTTGCAGCCCCTCACTGTCTCCTGCTTGCTTTGAGGAGCCAATTATCTATCCGTTAGGGCACTTTCATGTCTCCCGAGATGTTTAGTCGCAAACGTACGTATTGTGCCCCTGAGTCACGGCTTTTCATGCTCCGGCCCTGTCACTTGTCGATGTCACCGCATCCCTTTCAGCGAAGAAGGGAAGAATGAGTGGGAGAGGGAGAGGAAGGGAGGTAGAGAGAGAGAGAGAGAGAGAGAGAGAGAGAGAGAGAGAGAGAGAGATGGAAGAGACGGGCCTGTCAAGTGACATTTTGTCTGGGCGTCCAAGCTATTGTGTGCTAGGGGAGACAACACCAGTCATTGTCATTACACTGGCTGGCAGAGCGGCACATACACCGGACTAAGACAGCCCCAGGTGCGCGCACACACACACACACACACACACACACACACACATGCACACACACATGCACACACACACAAACACACAATAGTATTTGTCTCCATTCTCATGCCTGCACTGAAAATATTGTTTTGTGGATGTTTTCAGCAAAGCAGCTCCATTTTCTTCTTCTTTTGTTGCTAGCGTGGCAGGTTGTTTCTGCACGTGCAGCTCCGCACTACACAATGAAAGCACATTGGACTCATTATTAATCCACTGAATGATATTGAAACTAAGTCTCTCTCTCTCTCTCTCTCTCTCTGCTGGATGTCAGGTTGTTTGTACCCAGCATTTTTGCACGAGTATAAAAACAAGCACTCGAGTATTTAATCTCAAATATGCATACACACACACACACACACACACACACACAAAGTTGCGGTTTCAGCCAGCTCCCCACGCTGAGCGAGCATAATTAGCACACTCGTTAATTAAACTCATCTGCATCTCTCTTCAAAGGAGATCGATGCAAATGTGTAGGATTTAGCCACTGGCGGCAATTAGGCCAAAAGAAATCCTAGCTGGAGAAAGTCGGTTACAGCGAGGCAAAGTCGGCTCCATCGCTGGGAATGAATGGGTTTTCCGCCCCTGCACTGAGCGCATGATGGAATCCAAAATGAATGCTGTCATTTACTCTCCTGTCAAATCTAGTTCTGTTTAATCACGTTTGGTACCAGCCCTCCTGGTTATCACACAATCCCAGGCTTTGAGGTACAAGTATTGGTTGTGCAACCGAAATCCTGATGTATCTTATTCATCTGTGCAGTTGAGCTCCGACAGTGTTGAAAAACACATCAGTGAGCCACACAGGTTCTTTTATGACCATGAACGCACACACTGTAGTCTATTTTAACTCAAGGAAGCAACTTGTGGAGAAGATTCCCTCTTTTTTAGAAGTCCCTCTTCCAGCTCATAGTCCATCTGTTGCAAGGACTTGGGGCACTTGTCAAACCTCTTATAGATGGCTTTGACCGTGGATCGAGCTCCTATGGGGCAGACACTGAGCAGAGGAGTTTTAGAAACGGAGCTTAGTCAGCAGTTTGCTCATCTCAGCACTGGCAGCTTCACTTTTTGTCTTCCCGCTCTGGTTTCTCCAGAATGACTCAACAGGCATGTATTTAAAAGTACTACAATGAACCTTTAACTGTTTATGAAACAGTCTCAATGTAATCCTGATGCCTCTTTATGACCTATAAGCAAACCAGACCGTCACCGAGAAGATTGCCGATTTATTTAAAGTTATACTTAATGCTTGGCATCTGTCCCACTCGGTCCGATTCTGACGAAATATGAAAAAAAATGCAGGTCCAGCAGAAACTTCTTCAGCTCGGACGAGCCTCCGGCGACCAACCTGCAGAAGGTGGAGGGCTCAGCAGCTCAGGGATCAGCACCTGCTCTGCCGGTCTCCGCTGGGTGCCAACACCGACACCACGCTGCTGGAGGCCCAGGCCGTATTGATAGGCCTGTTGGAGGAGAGGGAGGCACGGGAGAACCAGAACCAGGACTTTGCAGGGCAGACTGTCAGACCCCGCTGCAGTAAAATAATACTTTTTCTAAAGGGAATCTGGTGCTTGGAATCACTACCGCTTTTGTCCACTGGGACCGCCAAAATCAACACAAAATGAAAGTCCCTCACAGTAGCTTTAAATAGAAAAAAAGAATATTACTTTAAGTAAATAAAATATCCCCCAAAATGTAATGTGCACAGTAACTATGGTTACATAAGTATTGCATAACTATGGGGCTGCCACAGATTATTGTTGATTTTGATTTGGTGGCTGAGATTGTCCGTCCTTGACTCGGGTCATGAACGAACATCACATCCTGTTTTTGACTGCTTCCTTTCACATTGTCCTCTGCATTC